TTGCTTCTCATCTTTTAATTTCTACAATACAACATTTCACACCCCTCCTTTAAGTATCTGTGGTTCTTATGAGTATTAAATGTTGATTAGCAGTGAATTTCTTTAATGTTGATATTGCAGTATCACAAGCAAGCAAACCATCTTATTTTTAACAAAAATAAGATAATATTGTAATTCCCAACTGTCATTAAAAGTGTTCTCATGCTCTTCTTTGACATGAGGGGCTGTTATGCAGACAGAGTTAAAAAACACTATTGAGCTTTGCAGCTATTCAAAAATTCCACTCAAACAGAAACATAGTGTATCGTTGTCAAAAGCTGACACCAGACTGGTGCACTTGCCATAAACTCTCACGAAACAACCGTGTGCAATAGTGGCACCAGTGGAGGGATGGGGAGGAGTGGCTAGCACTAAGTCATGCGTGTAGAAGCTGTCAGTTTAGCCCTATGGCTTACTAATATTCTAGTTGCCCCAGTTAATCTGAGAGGATTATTTCACTGAAATTTATTTTATTCTTTGGTATTTAAAAAAAGTTCATTTTAAAAAGAAAAATAGAAAAGTTGAGCTAAAATGTATTAATAAAAATAAAAGGATTTGTTCTATAAAGTTTGGATTCAGTCAAAAGGCCACACTTAAAGATCTAGAAGGCCACAGGTAGCCTTAGGGCTGCAGGTTCTCCACCCTTCCTTTGGACCCAGTACTTCTACACCGAGGAATTTATAGCCAACAGAAATAGTTCTGCTTGGGTGCAAAGATGCTGGTGCTAGGATAGCCAACCTACCACTATTCATTGTTATGAAAGATTGCAAAGAACCTAAATCTCTACCAACAAGAAATGAGATTAACACATTATAGTACTATAAATCACCAATTAATTATGAATCCAATCTATACATCTGAATGCATGGAACCCTCTCCAAGCCACGGTAAGTGAAATAGCCCAAGTACACTGACAGCCCTGTTGTAGAAATATGGGTAGATGTAAATTCACAGACTTTCCTTGCTGATACACAAGAAACTGGTTTGTCTCTGCTCCAGGGGATGAGAACTGGGTCTTGGAGATCAGGGATGTGGGAAAAACACTTCAAGTTTTCACCAACTATCTTTTCAGGCACCCTGAGTTTTTCACTCTATGTATCTGAAAACATTTTGTTCCAGGGCAAGCAGTCGCTTTGAACTTGCTGCAGGGAAGGCAAAATGGAGCCTCAAATCTTGGGGAGTCAGAATACAACTTGCTTTGCGACCAGCTCAGAGTCCAGGGGAGTCACTCAGAGCACAGGGTACAGGGCACAGGAAGAGGAAGAAGAGGGATTCTGTGGAAGAGAAATACTGTAGCAAGTGGCAAAGTCAGACAGATTAGGAAATGTTAAACATGCCGCAGGTGGGAGTGAGGGCATCTGCTGTAAATGCCAGTCTGTGAAAAGGCCCTGGGGGCTGGGGAGGGCCAAGAAGAGCAGGGAGTACCCACGTCCACCGCCCCTTCTTAAATGACCCGCAGCACCAAAATTAATACCACATGCCCAGCACAGATGCTGGGGAACACGAGGGATTCTGGCACCCGCAGCTGCTTTGCCTAGCCAGTCAGGGGCTCACCTGCCTCAGAGACTGGCAGGAGGCTGAGGCCCCCTGCTGTGGAGTTAAAGGTCAGCGTGGCAGTCCCTGGGAGCTGCTGGTGGAGGCGGGGGAGGGGGATAGAGACTGGGGTGAGCAGGTCCTTTGCCAGCTCTGAGTACCTGCCACTTACCATCTAGGCCACCCGGTTTGAATATCTTTGACTTATTAAGAGTTGATTTTAATATTAGAATGTATTCAGGTAAAACAATTATGGCCCTCATTTTGTTCTTTTTACTGGTCTGTAATTTTAAAAATATCTAATGTAAGTGATACACATATAAAGTCCTATGAGACACGTGGCAGTAATAAACTAATGTTTAAATGGAACTTTAAACTACATTATGTACTTAGAGCCTTATAACAATCCTATGAGGTAATTATTTTACTTATTTTCCATTTTATAGAAAGAGAAACAGGATTAGAACTGGTATGTAGGATCTGAATCTAAAGCTGGATACATGGTTCAGCACCTGTGGCTCAAGTGGCTAAGGTGCCAGCCACATACATCTAAGGTGGCAGGTTCGAATCCAGCCTGGCCCGCCAAACAACAATGACAGCTGCAACCAAAAAATAGCCAAGTGTTGTGGCAGGTGCCTGTGGTCCCAGCTACTTGGGAGGCTGAGGCAGGAGACTCACTTGAGCCCAGGAGTTGGAGGTTGCTGTGAGCTGTGATGCCACAGCACTCTACCCAGGGGGACAGCTTGAGGCTCTGTCTCAAAAAAAATAAAAAGAATAAAACTGGATATGTAATATTACTATTTCTTGGTATTAAGCATTAGATCTCTCATATTTCTTTTCTTTCTTTCTTTTTTAACGCAGCCCTAAAGGGACTATCTTTTATTTTTTAGTATCACCCTTCCTTGGAAAAAAATGCAGGCTTCTGAATCTACATGAGTCAATAGGTTGGAATATTCTAAAAAGTGTTTCCATTCTTTTCAAAAGGCAGAGTCAAGAGAGTTTCCATTTCATATTCACAGGTGAGTAACTTCTTGTTCTATTTTATGAAGTTGTGTAAGCATCATCTGTTATTCTTGGACCTTCTACACAACATATGGCTGTGTGATGGAACTTTACACTGATTGCCAAAGGTTGTTTCTAAAGTTTGCTGACTCTGATGCAATTTTTTTTTTAAAGAAATGCTATGAATTGCAGTTGGCACAAGTTCATCCTTAAACATAAAATATTTTATGCAAATTTATCACAACTTAATCTTCATTTTGAAATCTGTAAACTACACATTCCACATTCTTACCAGAGTGTTCCCTTTGAAAACTTCTCAAGTTACTTTCAGCTTTAAACATCATAGACAGAAACTTACAAATAAATATCAACTGGAACCTGAGTTGTTTATATACATGCACAATGTTGCTATGGAAACCTCAGAAGTCCCCTTCCAGGCAGCAATTAATTCAAGGAAGGAAAAAGCTGGTGTGGTTTTGATTTGCATTTCTCTGATAATTAAAAATGATGAGCATTTTTTTCATGTGTTTTTTGGCCATTCACCTGTCATCTTCAGAGGAGTTTCTGTTCAAGTCTTTTGCCCACAAAGAAATGGGGTTGTTTGTTCTTTTTTTTTTTTATTAATTAACTGTAGATTACAGTTATCAGAACTTTGTTGGAATCATAACCTGCAAAAATCTTCTCTCATTCGGAAGGCTGTTTGCTTAACTTGCAGTGCCCTTAGCCGTGCAGAAGCTTTTTAGCTTGATCAGATCCTAGTAGTATATTTTTGGTGTTGCTTCAATTGCCCCAGGGGGTCCTCCTAGTAAAATATTTTCCCAGACCAATAACTTCAAGCATTTTCTCTGCACACTCTTTCAGTATTTTTATAGTTTCATGTCTTAAATTTAAATATTTTGTACAGTGAGAATCAATTTTTGTTAGTGGTGAACAGCAAGGGTCCAGTTTCAGTCTTCTACAGTCACTAGCCAGTTCTCCCAGCACCACTTGTTAAATGGGAATCTTTTCCTCAATGTATGTTTTTTGTTAGGCTTATCAAAGATCAAATGACAATATGTGGCTAGGTTCATGTCTAGATTCTCTATTCTGTTCCACATATCTACTTCTCTATTTTGTGCCAATACCATGCTGTTTTGATCACTATAGATTTGAAGTATAACCTAAAGGCTGGTAATGTGATGCCTCCTGAATTGTTTTTATTTCTAAGTAATGTATTGGCTATTCGAAGTTTTTTAGATTCCATATAAAATGAAATACTATTTTTTCAAGTTCTTTAAAGTATGATATTGGTGCTTTGATAGGGATTGTATTAAATCTGTACATTGCTTTGGGTAATATAGACATTTTAACAATGTTGATTCTTTGAGCTATCACCATACTCCAGCAAGATTAGCCCACATCACAAAATCCCAAAACTACAGATGTTGGCACTGATGGGAAGAGAACAGAACATGTCTACATGCTGGTGGGATTGCAAACTAATACAGCCTTTTTGGAAAGAAGTATGGAGAATTCTCAAGGAACTAAAAGTTGACCTATCCTTTGATCCTGCAATTCCATTACTAGGTATCTTCCCATATTAACAAAAATAGTTTTACAACAAAGACATTTGCACCAGAATATTTATGGAAGCAGCCCAAATGCCCAACAAGCCATGACTGGATTAACAAATTGTGATATATGTACACTATGGAATACTATGCAGCCATTAAAAAGATGGAGACTTTACATCTTTTATGTTTACCTGGATGGAGCCAGAACACATTCTTCTTAGTAAAGTATCTCAAGAATGGAAAAAAGCATCCAGTGTATGCAATACTATTATAAAATCAATATATAATCACTTACACATTCATACCAATGATAAAACACAAATATAGTCCAGAAAGGAAGGGAGAGAAAAGGGCAGGGGAGGGGAGAATGGAGGGCGAGTCCTGGATCTCACCCAAAGTGCACAATGCAAAGGTACATTTCAAAATAACTAAGAGTATATTATAAATGTCTTACCCCCAAAAGAACTGAGGTGATGGTTATGTTAATCATTTTTATTTAAGCATTCCACATTGTACCCCATAAATGCATACCCTTGTGATTTAATAAAAATTAAAAGCAGGCGCGGGAACCTTTTCCTCTCATGCTGGGAAGGGTAGAAATGAGTAAGGGTGGGGAGGCAGTAAGACAGTAACGAATCAATCACTGCTTTTTGTCCATCAGTATTAACTTTTGGTATACTGTTTCAACAAAAATTTAAAATGCTTAATGATTCCGGAAAAGGGCAGTCAACGCTGAGGAGAAAGGAGCTAATACTTTAGAGAAAAGATCGGATAAAGGAAGGAGAGAAATAAAAGAGATGGACTTGTGCCTGCACCCTGAAAACCCCTAGAAGACACTCCACCCCCCATCCCCTCTTCTTCACCTGCTCTCACCTGATCTTCCAGTGTCTTGTTCTCCTCATTCGCCACCGGGATGGCGAAGCCATCCTCCCAGTGCAGCTCCGCGAGGAACTCTCTACTCATGCCTGCACACCGGCAGGGAGCTCGAGACGCGGTGCGGAGCCGAGACGCGCGGTCCGGTACCGCGGACCCGCAGCTTCACAGACAGCCCGCGGCGCCTGCAAAGCTCCTCTGTAGTGGCCAAAGGAGCCCTAGCAACCGCCCCGCGTCCTTAGTTACCAAACAGGAAGCGCTCAGCTCCGAAGGCGGGACTTCCGGTTGAGACCCACCACCTCCCGGCCGAGAGCAGCGAAGGAATTTACTTTCTCGCGGGGCATCGGCTCTTCCTGGCAGCCTCTGTTTCCGTCGACTCTCCGGGAACGTTCGAAATCTGCAGCCCCACGGAGCCGGCCGAGGGCCTCCTGGCCTCTGAATGGAACTGCGGAGCCGGCCCTCTGATCACCTAGTGAAGAAGAGAGGTCGTAGAAGATAGTAAAATACTGAGTTTTCTCTCCCACTGGTAGTATTCGCTGTGTTGTGTGGACTTCATCTACTACTGTAGGTGAAACTAGGCAGAATGGTACTTTGAAACAGAATTCATTCTCTAGAATCATTGCCGGCTGGATGTGCTCTCCTTCGTCTGTTTGAATCTTCTGACCGTCCTCTCGGCGCTCATCCGCCCCGTCGCGGGGGTCCGGGCTGACCGCTGGTGGGCGGCCGAGCGGAGGAGGTCCCTCTTGTGCCACTCTTATACTTTTATTTTTCATCGGTTAACTTTTAAAGATGTGGCATTTCAAATAAAATCCTGCATTTCTTCCTTCGAAAAAGTCTAGGTCACAGAGCCATAGAACTAACATTATCAAAAAGCCATAGAACTCACGTTACCAAAAGGCGGTATTCGGCTGGAATGGCGCCCCCTTTAGGCCGGAACGCGCTCCACCAACTCACTATTCGGAATCACCTACTTAGCACGGGCTAGAGTTGTGATCTGTGTTTGGAGCATCTCGGAACTAAAAAGGGCAAAACAATCATCTAATCTTTTCATTTTCTACATAAACCGACACTCCCTGAGGCGAAGTTATTTATGTAGGCATCATGAGCATAAATTAATTTTTCATAGATAATCACATGTAACTTTTTTCCCTTTCAAATTTTATTTTACCTGTACTTTGTTGTGGCTCAAAGGAGTAGGGTGCTGGCCCCATATGCCGGAGGTGGCAGGTTCAAACTCAGCCCTGGCCAAAAACTGCTAACCTACTGAGAATACATAGCAGAGTATAGCGAACTATGATACGTGCATAATCTTGATTTAACTTCGTCTTTGCCGTATTAGCATCACCGGCATCTTTTGTTGAAGTACATTAAATAACAGACAATAGACATTACATCCCTAAATACGCATACTTGAGCGTGCATTGCTCAAAGGGTTAATGTTTTTGAATAATTATCTCATCTAAGAAAATGAACAATTCTTCATTATCATTTAATAACCATTTCATACTCATTTTTCAATTGTCCTGAAAATATCTTTTTGCATTTGGTTTGTTACTATACTTTTGAAATCTTCCTTTAGTAGCTTTGTCTCTTTGTGCCTGTGTTGTTTTCCATAAATTAATCTTGTGGACTTAGAAAATGTCTTATAGAAAAAAATGGTTGAGACATTTTATTTCCCATTTCAACAATGCTTAAAGCCCCACTGTGGTTAAGGAGGAAAAATTGGCTTGTAGAAGGAATTTTGACCTGAATGGGATAATGGAATTTTAGAGCTCAAAAATCTTATAGATGATCGTTACTTACTTTGTAATACTTTAGTCATTTGTAGACACCTTATGTTAAGATGGTATACAATTATTTATATTTGAGATTTGTTGCGGCAATGCTGCATTCTAAAATTATTGGGGTTAAGTCTCAGGGGTACAACAAGATGGCTAGGACTCTCCAGTAATTTTCCAGTGCAGAAAACAATTAAAACAACCATGCACCCATCAAAATACCTTCTCTAGAGCTAAGGAAACTACCTACACTTAATAAGATTTTAATAAATAAAAATAATCAATGTTATTACTTCCCATGTGTATTAAAGAACTACTTCCTAATTTTCCATGCAGTTCCTAATGTGAATACTCAGGCAGCTGCCTTGACCTGAGTTGCCTTTGCAACTTTGCAAGCATTTGCCAATGAGTTGATCTCCTCTCTGCATCAGACAGAAATAGCTGTCTTTGGTAGGCACTACTCTATGTATCATGGGATTAAAAAGCCCAGCAGGTGAAGTCCCACAAAGAATCCAATATCCAGCATCTCAAGGATTCTATTTCCTAAATTTAAGAATGACAAGTATACGATATTTAATTCTAGATGAAGTATCCATGCTGTCTCAAAATTCCTCAGCCCTAGCTCACTGTGATGTGCCTGCCAACCTTGTTAAGACAGTATCCCATAAACACCTAGTTCTCACTCTTAGAATTCTGCAAGTTCTAGATCATAACTCTACTTGAATTCATTCAGGTCTAGGTTGGGAAACAAAACTCACAATTTTACAAACTTTGTTGCTAAAGTAATCTGATCCCAAAGTACTAAAGTAGGTGTTATCCTTTTACTGCTTTATTCCCAAGTAATTAACTTCACTCAGTCTAAAATATAAAGAGATCTTTCTTTCTTTCTTTTTTTTTTTTTGAGACAGAGTCTCACTATGTTGCCCTTGGTAGAATGCTGTGATGTCACAGCTCACCGCAACCTCACAGCTCACTGCAACCTCAAACTCTTGGGCTCAAGCAATCCCTCAGCCTCCAAGTAGCTGGGACTATAGGTGCCTGCCACAATGCTCAGCTATTTTTTTGTTGTTTAGCTGGCCTGGGCCAGGTTTGAACCCACCAGCCTCAGTGTATGTGGCCAGCACCCTAACCACTGAGCTATGGGCTCCAAGCCAAGAGATCTTTCCTTTATTTTGCAAAAATAATACTGTCCTTTTTATGTTTGAGAAAAATCCTCACTCTGTCACCCTTAACAGAGTGCCGTGGCATTATAACTCAAAGCAACCTCAAACTCTTGGGCACAAGAAATCCTCTTTGCCTCAGCCTTCCAAGTAGCTGGGACTACAGGTGCCTGCCACAAAACCTGGCTATTTTTTAGAGATGGGGTCTTGCTCTTGCTCAGGCTGGAGTCACTGTTTTAAAAAATAGAAAAATACTTCTATGCGCAAAGTAAAAGAAAGGATGTATTTCACCTTTATGCCAATTCTATTTTCAAAAGATCACCAGAGGTGTCTGTTTGCCCTAACTGCATTTTTAATGAAGCTATGCTTATATAACTACATTAGTGAGCTTTGTAGTTTCTTCTACAGAAATAGAATCATATTACAAGGTTTATTCTACAAATTCATTTTTTCCACTAAATATAGTGACCATGTTTCCATGTCAGCACATTTAGGTCTACCTTAATATTTTCATGGAAGCTTAAAATTCATTATCAACCAATTATAAGTTTTTAAACAATACAACAATGAACTTCTTTATAATACTGTATTTGTCAATTTTACATAAACTTATTGTCACATTTTAATATTTCTGAAATTGGGATACATCTTTTAATCGATAGGGTCAGATTTTCAAAATAAGATAGAATCTTGCACACCTGTATGTTTCTGCAGGACATAGTTTAAGAAGTAAAATTAATGGAAAATAGGTAAAAGCAATTTTATTTGGCTAGATAACACTAAATTACCCTTCAGAGAGGCTTTACATACTCACCAACGTTACAAGAGTATTATTTATCCTTACATACTCTAGATATTATGATTATTAAATATTTCTATATTTTAATTAATTTAATCTAAAAAGAAAAATACAGTATCTACTGTTAATTGATGTTTCTCTAATTATGAGTGAGCTTGAGCATCATATTTCTTTAATAATTTCTTTATTGTATCTTTGCCTATTTTTTCCTATGTGGTTGTCTTATTGAATTATAGCAGTGCTTTACATGTTACAGATAGTATTCTCGTGTATGTGTGTGTGTGTATAGATAATGTTGGGGTTTTTGTTTGTTTATTTTATTTGTTTTTGAGGCAGAGTCTCACTTTGTTGCCCTGAGTAGAGTGCTGTGGCATCATAGCTCACAGCAACCTCAAACTCCTGGGCTCAAGTGATCCTCCTGCTTCAGTTTTTCATTTTGAGCAGAGACCCGGGTCTCACTCAGCTCAGGCTGGTCTCAAACTCACAAGCTCAGGTAATCCATCCACCTCAGCTTTCCAGAGGGTAGGATTGCAGGCATGAGCTACCGCGCCCAGTCTATAGATAATGTTTTTCTCCCAATCAGGTTTTTGGCCTTTATTTTCAACTTTATTTTCAGTGTTTGGCCACATACACCTCAGAATCTGCCCTGCTGCTGTCAGCATGCCTCCTCCTCCAATAGCAACCTGCTCTTCAGCTGCTCCTTCTCTGCTGGTATTGTCTTTTCTGGGCTCTTACGACTTTCTCTATCAGTTTCCCATTTAATCTTCTCAGTCTCCTTTGCTGCGTTATCTTGGCCTGTTTGGACACTTAATACTGACAGTCCTTAAGGCCCAAGACTGATCCCTTTATTTTTCTCTTCTTATACTTGCTTCCTAAGTGATTATATCCATTTTTGTGGCTTTAAATAACAGGACTGGCATGTCAGTTTACTAGGGCTGCCATAAGAGAATACCACAAATCAGGTGGCTTAAACAATAAACACTTAATTTCTCAGCTCTGGAGGCTGGACATCCAAGATCAAGGTGCTGTTGGGGATGGTTTCCGGCGAGGCTTTTACCCTTGGCTTACAGGTGGCCACCTTCTCACTGTGCCCTCACATGGCCCTTTCTTTGTGCACATGCTTTCATGGCATCTTTGCCTTTTCTTCTAAGGATTCCAGTCCTATTGGATAGGGCTCTACCCTTATGGTCTCCGTTTAACCTTAATCCTCTCCTTACAGGCTCTATCTCCAAATATAGTCACATTGGGGTTAGAGCTTCAACATACAAATGTACACAAGGAAGAAAGATCAAACAGCTGGCATTTCCTTAATGGCTCCCATTAACATTTCTCTAGCCTAGATCTGTCTTCTTCCCTCCAAACATATATCCAATTACTTATCTTGTAAGTTCCATTAGATATCTCAAGGATAT